AAAATTATCCATCTATAGGAGCTTCCTGATTACGAATCTGAAGATAGGCTTGGAAAATTCAAAATGGCGGATAATTAAAAAAAAAATTATTACAGTTTTATGAAACTGACCACAGTATAGGGTGTTTTTAAAAATGTATAAAATATTTATGAATCTGACTATACGGGTGTTTTCGGGTCGCTAAGTACTAAGTTAGTTTTGTAAAATCTAAAATTGTGGATACTATATCCGACGAATCTGAAAATGAAGAGGAATCAGAAAACTAACTTCTCGATGTGGAGCTTACAGACAAAGAAGAGATATGAGATGTTTAAAAACTTTACAAAAGAAATATTTAAATTAAAAAAAAGGTAAAATTAAAGGAGTAAATAGGGGTCCAAATATATACTTATAACTATGCTGACCATATTTATGGGTGGCTAATACGGGTCAAAAAAGATTTTGCAAATTTTTTTCACAACAGCTTACAGATCTTAAATCCTTCTTCAATGATCCTAGATGTATTAGCCCTGAAACAGTATCCTTATAGTAACATCACAAGTTTGTAGGATACATTTCTCTAAATTTTTATCCCGTAATATATGTTAAAAAATTTGTTAAATTTTTGTATAGTAAAGTGCAATTTTGAAGTCGCTAAGGCTTATTAAGCCTTAAGGATTATTTAGTACTTAGAAGGTGGGTCGCCAAAAATTTTAAGAGGATTTTAATTTTCATATAACTTCCTGTCAGCTTAGGAGTTAGTTTAAGATTGAAATCGTCTGAATTTGACAAACTGTAATTTTTTTGATGAAAAATAAATTATACAAAATTTATCACTACCTTCACAGTTCAAATAATATTATATTTTAAACAAAGAGGTGGAATATGATTTTCAAATAATTTCAAAGTTGCCCTTATTTATGTATAATAAGATAGTCCAGTCAATCCAACCAATTTCCTAACTTTATTTCGGGTTATTTTGCGCCAATTCGAAAATAAATTTCGTCAATGGCATACAAAATTGTCAGCAATTAGAGCACCAAATGCGACATTTCCCACACAAATCACGCGGCAGCATTGGCAGCTTTGTCAAGTTTTCCAAATGAGCGAAAGTGTTGCAAATCAAATGCCAACCCGCCCACAATGAAATGTGACAGGCGGCGACATGTAAAAAAGCAAGCACACACACTCGCCTACAAATACATGCAAACAGCGTACGTGCAAGTTGCGCCAATACAAAAAAAAAGAAAACGTAAGAATAAATTGCAGATAAAAATGTGTTTGCTAGACAAAAAAGTGCAACAGCTGGCAACCAATGAGGCGATAACCGCAACAAATCAGTATGCAACAAAGCAAAGCGAGCAGTGACATTTACAAGAAAAAAAGTGTGCTTAAATGTTTGTGCATACTTACCAGCTGTATACATATGTATGTATGTATGTATGTATGCCTGTATTGTGTATGTGTATTGCATGCAAAATATGTGACAAACATCGAAAGAGCAAAACGTGCGGCTGCTAGCTAGTGAGAAGCAGTAAAGTAAAAAGAAAAGAGTATCGATTGAAAAAGTGGCCTGCCTTTTGCTATGCAACAAACTTTTTTTTTTTTTTTTTTTTTTTTGAGTTCAAAAAGGTGCCTACCGCTGGCGTGGCATCGAACGCGATCTGTTGTCAGCCAAATTGGTGATTTTTGCTACGTAAATTTTATAACAAACTGTCAACTGTCAGCAGCAGCGGCAGCCACGGCAAAAAAAAAAAAAAAAAAAAAAACAAAAATCGAATTTACTATTCGGTCTGCTAGTTTTTCTTCAACTGGCTTCATGAAATTGCTCTATTATTAGTTAGTTTTGTGTTGAGTGAGCGTGCCACACGAGTGTAACACATGTGCATTGCACTGCTATGGGGTGGACTTGTAGGCAAGGCGGCAATTTTTTTTTTTTTGATGGTTGAACGTCTATAAGCGATTTGTATTTTGCTTTGCTTTGCTGCCTTTGCTCGCATTTGTGCGCCCCTTTTTTGGGGCAGCGCAACGTCATTATTTGTGGCAAGCACATAATTAAAATTGACTTAAGTGTCGCCGCATGCTGTGTGCTTTTTCGGATTGCTGTTTTGTCTGCTAATTTTTTTGTTGAAGTTTTTTTCATTTGTTTTTTTTTTTTGTTTGGGTTCGAGTTTTGCCATTGCTCAGTGCAAGTGTGGCAAATGTCGTCACAGTCGTTATAGTTTTGGGTAAAAAACGCGAGCAAAATATATTGTGCAAAAAAACGCATAAGTAAAAGTACACCAGTGTGTAGAAGAGGAAATAACTAGATGTCCAAAGAAATAGGTCAAGCAAAAGTCAAAATTTCTTGCCGTTTGATTTTAACTTTTTGTGACACTTGTTAGTCATTAAGCAAGAAGTTTTTTATAGACTTTTTTCTACAACTTTATATCCTATTAATTATTGTCATCTATTCCTAGAACGTCATCATTAATGCCAACTGCCAATTGTTTAGTTATTTTATTATTTATTTTCAAGTAAATTTCCTTCACTGCTTTTTATCCAACGCCTTGCCTTATATTAACAAACTGTTCACCTTATTTACTGTCATTTGTTTGCCGCAACTTTTAATTGCCACTGACAGTGCCACAACATGCACGCGTACACGTCACTCCCCTGATAATTCACTTCAATCTCCGTTGGTTTGTTTTCCACTGGAAGTTACGTATACGCCCTGTCTGACGTGTACTAACGAAACGGCACAGATTGTTAAAAAATCGAAATAAATATTGAAGTGTTGTTAAAATAAGTTAAGACAATTAGCCTAAGATTCACGCTCCTTTTGGTTGCTACTACGGTTTTTTTTTTGGGTTTTCATGTTTTCGATTAAAAATTATTGTTAAATTAGGGCTTTTATTTTTCCGGTAAAATTTAATCGATAATTTGTAATTTTTCTTTTTTTCTATCAAAAACAATTGATAGTTTGGATTTTAATTATAATTTTTAAACGTAATGATGGAGACTGAGCTTTTATAACCGATTTAAGTATTTTAGGATCGAAACATTGAAATTTGAAATAACTAAAAAAAAAATTTGAGCGAGAAACCAAAAACCCAGCTATAACGACTATTATTGACCAAAAAAAAAAAATAAAAATTATAAAATAATGACAAAATTTTATCGGAAAAATATAAAAACAATTTTAGCGCTTAAATTATGACGTGTCTAATAACCGTTACGTAATAGCGCGCACTGTGGTGTAGTGGTAAGCGGTGAAGTGTACATACATATGTACATATGTTTTTAGCAGTGTACGAAAATAAACTATATTGTACGTTACTATTTCGTTTCGTTTATTACTTCAACAGTTCGGTACAATACGAAAACAAAACGGCTGAGTTCATTTTGGCGATAATACACTACAGTATTTTAGTAGTTACAGATGAAACAACAAACGAAATGAATCGTGCAGAAAAAATATATGTAATTATGTACATATATGCAATAACTAAATACAAAACGAATGGCTTCAATGAATAAAAGAAATCAAAATGTTTTTTAATTGAATTGGATATGAAAATTTAGAGAAAAAATTATTTTTCACGTAATTGAAACGTTTGCATACATATATAAATGGTACAATTGTCACAAACGAAAAGCAACGTTTCTCGTAGGGGAAAATGACAGTGAATCTTACAATTTTTTTCTGACTATGTACAAATCTGTACAAAACCACAAATGATATGATGATCGATGAGCAAATGGGAATTGTTTTGTACAGTTTATTTTCGTACCCTGGATTTTAGGGAATGAACTGTACTTTAATTGAATATTCTTAGAAATAATTAAAAAAAAAAACAGAAGTGGCAAGCAATATCATTTTGAATTTGGTTAAAAAATTTATGACTACTACTGTAGTTGCTTGGGTTTTGAGTAACGAGCCAACCAAAGAAGCAATGCTATTTAAAATCGAACAAGCTATTTAACCCTAGAACACTAACGTTCGCCTGTGAAAGTAAGCGTTCACGCCAACTCAGTTTAGCGTTGTACGAGGTTGTTAGCAGACGCACATTGTACAGTGAACTGGCGCGGCTGAGTTCCACGCCCTCTTGATGCCTGAAAGGCGAACGTTAGTAGCAAAGGTAATTTTGTTTGCTGTACTTATTTCAGTTTTTAACATATTTGTTGACTATTTTCTGTTTTGAACATAGTTTTTTTTTTTTTACTTTTCGAGAGAGGTACCTGTGAAGGACAAGTTCTAAAATGGTTGGAAGAAATATCGTTGAATAGAAGCGATAGTGGGGACAATTTGGAAGAAGCCTTCAGTGAATGGGCGTTATGAATGAATAAACGAAGCAGTTGCTTTTTTTTTGAGATTTCAAACCTTTTGCTAGATTTAAATATTCAAATAAATTTACGTAAAAGCCCTGACATTTTAAGAAAAATCAACTGCTTGGTTTTTTCATAAGGCTCAACGTGATACAAAAAAGTCGATTTCATTTTTAGGTACAAGTCACAATAGAACAGATAAACAATGAATTCTTTTTAATTGTGAAAGTAAATGCGAATACCTTTAAAATAATTTATAGAATATTTGAGTTCGGTCGTTTTAAAATATTTTATTTTTTACAACTACCCCTCTCAAAAAGATGATAAAATATGTGTTAAATTTCAACACGAATTATTTTTATTAATACTAAAAATATTAAATTATTTTATGTTTTTACTTTAGAAACATATGAAATATGTTGAAGTCCATTCTTTAAATAAATTTAAGGTTTTAAAAAGACAAAATTTGTACTTTTTTCAACGTGGCCTCACAAGGAATAAAACATAAGATTAGTATTTTAGGGTTAAGAAGTTAACTGAAAAGCAATGCTGTGAGTACCTCTGTAATTGGTTAAATTTTTTTATTTAGATTTTAGCTATACGGAACAAATAAAGTACATATCGAATTTGTATTTCGTTGTTAAATTTAGTAAAATCACCAAATCGGTCCAATTACAAGGAATCCTTATAAAGAGATCTTTATATATACTTACCACTTGATCAACAACCACGAATATCTCTGAAAGTATAAGAACAGAAAGTACGTAATTAATACAAAATCAAAAAGTATTATAAAAATATAAAAAATAGAATAGTTTCCTAATAATTGTGAGTAAGTGTAATGGAATGTATAGTGCAATAGAAATATATGTCTTTGCTATGTTTCATGTACACTCCATAAATTTTTATTTCTTATGGGGTTTCGGTTTTTACCAAAAAATATTATTGTCAAAACAAACGTAGGATAGGTTTATAAAATAAAAGGCGTTGCAACTAAAATAGCTCGGCGTCCAACTTTCTTCTTAAGTTGCTAAAGAAAATTTTGGAAAAGCATGTAAAAGTCCCCTATATATATTTTTTCTGTTTTAATAAAGATGCATGCTCTCTATTGCTTAAGATCGAGACTATTCTAGAGGTTTCACCGAAAAATGGGGTTTCCCGAATTCACTGCCGTTATCCAGTCGCATAATAACTTACATACAGAGAGGCACAGTCGGGCAGAGAGGCAGAGACCGGTAGAGAGGGACAGTCCAGCAAAAAAAAAAAATGGAAAATATTAAGTTGTGTAGTCCAGCTCAAGTAAAATGCGCCAAATTTTCCAGCGTCCTCCTTTGAGTGGACTTTTTTATGGCGCTTACACTTTTGCTAAGTGTTTGGCCGAGCTTATCCTTCAATTTGTGGTCTGCATCTATATATTATAACACACATAGAGGAACCCACAGTTTTAGTCGCTTCCGAACTGCAAATGCATTTTATGAGAAGTTTTTTCATGACAGAAATACACTCGGAAGTTTGCCTAGGGCCGGCAGCTGCAAGGAGAAGCTTTTTCTAATTTAGACATCTGGGATGGCACCAGGGATGTAAGCCAGGTCCTGCGAAGCAATAGTACGCACCTTTGTGTGCGTTACTGTATTGGATGCAGATGACGAGTGTGCAGTCTGGAGAATATATAAACTGTCGAGCTATGGCAAATTAAAACACCATTGTATGTAGAAATCTATTCATTATCCTCACTAAATATATCGAAATATGAGAAAGTTTTTTTCGCTGGCAAGAAATACAATACTACAAAGCATATTAACTACACCCATTGATTTATATACCACACACCAGTTAGTTGGTATGTAACTCTATAATTATTGAAATTAAGCTCCTGCATACGTCACTTTAACTAGTATTTACATAGTCTTGCATTGCCACCGAATTTTGCTGCGGGAAATAGTTCAAACAGAAAATATTCTTGTAAATGCCAGGTACTCGTTAACAACGGTGTTATTTATTACAGCGGTGCACAGTATCTACTAGGTATGTATATAAACATTTTCGCCGAAGCATGTTGGAGATCAACGCGTGTTAAAAAGAGCCTTGTAAATTCGCAAGGAAACCAGAGCAGCAACGAGTGCAACATCTATAAAAATAACAACAAAATAAATTTAAGCCGAGTAAAGCGTTTGATTTTTTATTTTATTACCGTTAGAATTATTATTGCTCGCGTTTGCCGAACATATGTAATGTTGCTGCACAATTTTTGCTTAGTCGTTTTTTGTTTTTGTTTTGGTTTGAAATTTGCCCCTTTGGCTATACGCGCAAACGTGGACGCGCGCGCGTATTACAACAATTGTAATTGCTGTCACTACAACAAGAGCAATCAATAGAAAATGTATAACAAGCTCAGTAGCGATAACCGCAGCAAGAGTGGTACAAAAGCAACAAACGCTTACAAAATGCTGTAATTTTACTTCAGCAAAGTGCCATATTTCATGTCTGATTAGCTGTAATGACAGTTTCTAGCCGCTGGTGTCTTCGTCAACGTTTGCTGTTTTAACTGCGTGGCATGCGCCAAATAATAGTGGGCTGGCAGGAAACTGGTTCAGAGTAGATATGTACATAAATAGTTGGGTTGCTGCAACGATGGCCAACGTTTAATCAACTCTTCTTTTTATTTAAAAAAATAAAAATAAAATAAAACATTCATGACTGACTGAAAGTGTCAGCGGTACGTTGAAGGTAAGAGAAAATTTAGAGCGAAAATTTGCCTTTGCATTTTTGGTAATAAAATAATTGAATTCAACTATGGATATGTCACAGAAGGCGATATACCAACCTTAAGATTTTTGTAGCTCAAAAAGGTTTACGCTGTAGACAAAAGCTGAAGAAAACTATAGGTATACCATTCCATAAGTCCATATCAGCTATGGTCCTTAAGAAAACCCCCAAAGAACAGGAAATCTTAGAATACTCTAGAAAAAGCTCAGGAAAATAGTCAATGTTACTTGTCCAAAGCAATTCAAAAACACAACGAAGCAGAACAAAGATAAGCCTAGACTGCATTCTGCCAATTCCAATGCTTATCTGTAGAAAACTGTACAGATTACGGGAAACTCATGGAATTTTTTTCCAAGCATAGACCAATCCAAGCCTCATTATAGGAAAGAGTGGTTTTCGTTCAACTAACGAATCAATAGAAGCCCGAATTAATATTAAGTTATCAGAGGCCAAAGATATGGAACCGAACTGGCCTGTTTCAAAACTCAAAAGGTTTAGAGGATTCAAACGCCGACAAGGTAAGAATAAGATCCGCAGTAGAAATTTTTCTCCATACATTAGCCCAAGCATGGAAAAAGTTCCATGAAGCATCTGACCCCATGTGCAGTTAGATTGAACGGATGTTAAAACAAAGAATCAAAAAATTATAATCCAGTAACACTAAGCTCAACGGCAGAGTCGTTAGATATAGTAACGAGAGCCAATGAATTGGTTAGGGCTGAAGAACCTCTTGAAAAATACGAAGTCGAGACACGATACTGTCCACTGGAAAGACACTTTATATTAAAAGATTAGCAAGTGCATCAAAATAGCCATTATTGAGTCCAGGCCCACTGCTACCAACTATCCAAAATAAATTAATAAATTTCAGCTCTTCCGTGTGTTTCGATGGATGTTTTTTTAGAAAACTCAAACTTCAATGCTGTAATGTCGGTTTTATTTAAAATTTGCTTTTTATTTTTTTG